GGGGAAAGGAGAGGGACATGGCCTTGGACTGTGCAACTTGGAATTGTTCTTTACATTCCAAGGATTTTCCTTCTCTCAAATTTCTACTCAAATGCCATGCAGCTCGCCTGTTTTCCACAGCTATTACTTCTTGAATCTCACTCAAGAAGGTTTGAGCTGTCTCCCTGTGAACTAAGAGCTTCACTTAATTAACCAGCAAAATATATAACTTTAGCACCTCTATTTGTCAGTTTCACTGAAGTAACTACTGCCCTGATCCTACTTTCTTTTTTTTTTTCCTTCTTTTAATCTATTTAGTTTTTTGAGAGTCTTACCCTCATTCCAGGAAAAGTGTGCTCTCTGGTTCTGCTGTGTAACCAGTTAAAACCTTAGGACAGTGGTCCATTTTGCTGCAATTCTCTCCCACTTCCAGGGCTTCTAGCTTTACTCCTAAACAACGAGTTAGTACCAGAGACATTGTTACTCAATAAAAAAAACTTTGCAATACTACCTGAGTCTCAGACGTTCAGACTTTACATGAATGGACTACTTGGGACAACTCACAGAGCTTCTGCTACCATGTCACCAACCCTTTCCTGCAGCACAGTCTTCAGAACCTCTTGAATACTTTGCCTGCCATCTGAATGTAACACCTTCTACCAGCTAGTGGGACTATGTCACCTTTCTGTCTGGGCCTTCTCAACTTCAGGAATAAGCTTTCTCCTGGATTATTCTTTAGTATGTTCCACCTCACTCTATGCAACCAAGATCATTTGGCCAAATTCCACCTACACACTATGTAAGTATGTTATTGCATAAGAAAATCAAAGGCAGGAACAAGTTGTGAAGTCTATGAATACTCCAAAGTTAAAGCACCACACACTGACACACAGTTGAAGTAAAGTAACAGAATATTTGGGTTTGAAAAGTCAAATTGCTACCACATGGGCTTATGTAATGATAAGCATGTTTTTCATGTCTCACCTCATTCATTTTTCCATTTTCTAATCAATTTATAACTTAGATCAACTAACTTTGGTTGTAAGAATCTCTTCTTAAAAAGCAATAGATTACTATTTAATTCAGAAAAGAAAAACTTTAAGTTCTGAGTTTGTTTAGGAGAATATAAATATCAATTTTGATGGCTCTGAGTCTTTCAGAAAGCTATTAATTATCCATGTAGCCAGGAATAACATTAAAAATCTTGAAAAAACTACAGAAAATAACAAATTTAAAAGGTTCCATATTCAGAAAAATCATTAGAACATGTAGTCACTGAACATTATAACATTTTATAGAGTTCTGCTTAATTTTTTACACATATAACTTTTAAAAGAAAGTAAAACACATTTGATAAGTGTATTTTTCTTATTCATATAAGATTATTAGACCTATCAAGTGACTTACTCAATATTATATGGCTAGTGATCTACAAATGTAAGAGGTTTTTTTGTCCTGGTTTACATGTATTTTCAAAATTCAGTACAACTTGGTGGTTAATTTATTGGTTCATTATAGTATATATTTCTTAAACCAGCAGAGATGATTAAAAAAAAGCAACCCTGCACTCACTAAATCATTGTTTCTTGTTTGCATTTATAGACCAGGAAGAAGTCAGCAATAAGAAATGAAAAATCACACGTCTGTGAAAGAGTTCATTCTTCTCGGATTAACAGATGACCCAGAGCTAAATATTCTCATTTTTCTATTTCTATTTTTCACATATATACTGAGTATAACTGGAAACTTGACAATCATCACCCTCACTCTGATAGATTCCCACCTCAAAACTCCCATGTATTTCTTCCTTAGGAATTTCTCTTTCCTAGAAACCTCATTCACAACAGTTTGTATTCCTAGATTTCTGGTCAGCATTGTAACAGGGGATATGACCATTTCCTATAATTCCTGCATGGCCCAGGTGTTTTTTTTCATACTCCTTGGTTCAACGGAATTTTTCCTTTTGACTGCGATGTCCTATGATCGGTATGTGGCTATCTGCAAGCCACTGCGTTACACAACCATAATGAACAGCAGAATCTGCAACCAGCTTGTCATTAGTTCTTGGCTGGCTGGATTTCTCATCATCTTTCCACCTGTGATCATGGGACTTCAACTGGATTTCTGTGACTCCAACATTGACCACTTCACCTGTGATTCTTCTCCTATGCTACTGATCTCCTGCACAGACACAGCACTCCTAGAGCTCATGGGATTTTTCCTGGCAGTATTCACGCTCATGGTAACCTTAACATTAGTGATCCTTTCCTATGTATTCATCCTTAAAACAATTCTGAGGATTCCCTCTGCTGAGCAAAGGAAAAAGGCCTTTTCTACATGTTCCTCACACATGATCGTTGTCTCCATTTCTTATGGAAGTTGCATTTTCATGTATGTCAAAACTTCAGCAAAAGAAGGAGTGGCTTTGAACAAGGGTATAGCAGTGCTCAATACCTCTGTTGCCCCAATGCTAAATCCTTTTATTTATTCCCTGAGGAACCAGCAGGTCAAGCAGTCCTTTAAGAACTTGGCCAAAAAAATGCTTCTCAAATAAATTTTAATCATAAAGAAATTCATGACCTGAACTTTAAATGAACCTTATGTCTAACACAATTATTAACATCATTATATTTTTCCATCCACTACTATATTCAACTTCCTCTCCCCTCAGGTTTTATTTTCCATGTATCCCATTTTCACCTCATTTGATTCAACTATTTTTCTATATTTAAATGCC